GTCTAGCGAGTCATTTAGGATTGATATTTCTTTGCTGATTTTTTGTTTAGATGACTTGTCAAAGAGTGACAGTGGGTTATTAAGATCTCCTACTATGATTGTATTGCTATTAACTTCTCCCTTAATGTCCTCCAGCAGTTTTTTTATATATTGGGGTGCTCCCGTATTGGGTGCATATATATTTACCAGGGTTATTTCTTCTTGTTGGCTTGCTCCCTTTAGTATTATGAAGTGGCCTTCATTATCTCTTGTTATGTCCTTCACTCTGAGATCTAATTTGTCAGATATAAGTATTGCTACCCCAGCTTTTTTTTCATTTCCATTCGCCTAGAAAACCTTTTTCCATCCCTTCACCCTCAGTCTGTGTGCATCTTTTTTTCTGAGGTGGGTTTCTTGTAGACAACAGATATATGGGTCTTGTTTTCTTATCCAATCCGTTACCCTATGTCTTTTGATTGGAGCATTTAGTCCATTTACATTTAAAGTTATTATTGATAGATACTTATTTGACACCATTTTTATTCTGTACCCATTTGTTCCTTCTTTCCTTTCTATTTCTTTAATTTTACAGTAGACCCTTTAGCATTTCTTGCATTGCTGGTTTGGTGGAGATAAATTCCCGTAGTCTGTTTTTGTCTGTGAAGCTCCTGATTTCTCCTTCAATTTTGATTGATAGCCTTGCTGGGTACAGTATTCTTGGATTCAGACCCTTCCTTTGCATTACTTTGTATATTTCATCCCATTCCCTTCTGGCCTGATAAGTTTCTGTGGAGAAATCAGTTGCTAGTCTGATGGCGGTTCCTTTATATGTAACTTTCTGTCTCTCCCTGGCTACATTTAAAGTTCTTTTTTTGTCGTTAGTGTTTGCCAGCTTAATTATAATGTGTCTAGAGTTCGGTTTTCTGGGGTTCATTTTGCTTGGGACTCTGCGATCATCTTGGATTTGTGTGGGTTTTTTCTTCTCTATCTCAGGAAAGTTTTCTGTCATTATTTCTTGACATACGTTTTCCATGTCTTCCTCAATTCCCTTTCCTTCTGGAACCCCTATTATTCTAATATTGTTTTGTTTTGTATTGTCACAAAGTTCCCTTAGACTTTCCTCTTGTTTTTTAATTTTTTTTCCCAGAAGCTGTTCTAATTTGGTATTTTTTCCATCTTGTCTTCTAGCTCGCTGATGCGGTCCTCTGCTTCTTCTAATCTACTCTTGATGCTTTCTATTGAGTTCTTTACAGTAGCGATGTCATTTTTCATTTCCTCTTGGTTCTTACTCATAATGTCAAATTTGTCTTCCATTCTTTTTAGCCATCTTATGATCATTAGTCTGAATTCTTGCTCTGGTAGGTTGCTTGCCTCTATCTCATTTACTTCCTTTTCTGGTGAAGCCTGCTTTTCTTTCATATGCGGGCTGTTTTTTGGTCTCCCCATGATCTTTGATGTCTGGTTGTGTAGTTCTCTCTCTCCTTTTCGAGGCCAGATGTTCGCGCTGCCTGGGATCCGCGTTTTGGGGGTCACAGTTGCTTGTTGGTCGCTGCGGCTGTTGATATTCAGGCCTCTGACACGATCCTATCTTCCTCTCAAGATCAAACTTATACATTTTTAAGGCCCCAGAGGACCTGGCACAGTGATTTGCACATAAAAGTTATTTAAGAAACTAAAGGCCTGGTGCATAAAATTCATGCACTGGCAGTAGAGGGGTGTCCCTCAACCTGGCCTGGCCTTCTCGAAGTCTGAGAGCTCTTGGGAATGTCTAATGTTGAGAGTAGGCTAAGCTAGCAGTCGGACTTTCTTAAGTGCTGCCATTGAGGCAGAAGAGGCTCCTGCCACTGTGGCTGCACTTGCCAGCCATGAGTCCAGCTCAGGGCTTCTGGCTGAGCAGTACACCCCCTGTGGGAGTGCATCAACCACCAGAGGGCAGCTCCTGCATTGAGCATCTGCTCTCTGGTGTTCAGTGCATGTCATCTCTGGTGATCAGTTCGTGTCATTGTGACTGGTAGTTCTGTAGTTCGGTTGATTTGCATGTTAGTCTTTTTATTATATAGGATATTAGAATACAGGATGTGTGTGTTTTTTGCAAATAAAATATAGAGATATGATTCTATGTGGTGGATAAAATTGAACATGAATCATCTTGTTGCTAAGAAAGTATCAAAACTGTAAAATTAATGAATTTAGTGTGGTAGTAAACATATTTCAACCATACAATTCACCGGTACAGATTAAAGCAAATTCACTGGGAATAGAAAGGGATAGAGAGAGATGGGAAAATTCTTCATCAATGATAGGTACTTGTTCTTTAGCTCACGTTCCTTTAAAGAAACTGTGAATATGGTTTCCACTTTCTCCTTAAGAACTTTAAGCTAAAATCTAGAAGGATAAATAAGAGATAATAAATATCTGTAATTCTTTAAAAGAACCAAGCAATATAAATCTATGGCATTAAAATGAGTATCCCAAGAGTCCCTTGTCTTTGGAAATGTCCTCAAAATGCCCTGAAAGTTTTCGACAGCAAGCAAAATGATATAGATAAAGGTTGCCATTATGAAAAGTCATTTTGCATGGACATAGATTATATTTAATGAAGGCCTGAGGAGGGGCATGGAGTGGGGTAGAAGAGAGCCAAGAGTGGGAGGAGATATTTTGAAAAAGTTAAGTAGGAAAAATGTTAATGGGGATAATGGAAACATTTCAGATTGAGTGTATTATTGTGCTAAAGAAATAAGTCAGTTTCAGAGTACCTACTATGTGTCCAGCCTATTGTTAAATGTTGAACATAAAAAGGAAAATTGAACAGATCCTATTTCTTTCAAATGGATGACAGATAATCCTATCTAATAAAAGAGTAATATGTAAATTGACCGTCACTCCAAGACATAAGATAGCTGTCCCCATATGGTCAAAGATGGCTGCCCTCATGTGGACACAAGATGGCCACCACATGATGGCCAGTAGGGGAGGTCAGTTGGGAGGGACCAGACCAGACCAATTCGGGGGGGCAGTAAGGGGCAATCAGGCCAGCCTGAGAGCAGTTAGTCATCGATCGGGCTGGCAGGGGAGTGGTTAGTGGTGATTAGTGCTGGTCAGGCTGGCAGTTAGGGGCAATCAGGCAGAAGCAGGTGAGTGGTTGGCAACCAGCACTCCTGGATTGTGAGAGGGATATTCGATTACCCTTTTAGGCCCAATCCTGGTGGGTAGGACATCCCTCAAGGGGTCCCAGATTGGAGAGGGTGAAGGCTGTGCTGAGGGACACCCCCCACCCTGTGCATGACTTTCATGCACTGGGCCTCTAGTTACACAAATAGTTATCACACTGTGAAATTGGCATTAGGCTGCGGGCTTACATGGATTCCCCTGACAGCCCTGATGGAAATGGGACAAAGAAAGGTTAGGTGAGGCATTTAAATACATGCAAAGTTATTGACAGATTTCTTTTCAACAAACAAGTAACGACATTAGTTTAGTTGAAGGTAGGGGGCGGGGAATGGATAGCTGGAGGGTGGCAATAGTTACCAGACATGTATCACATTCGAAAGATAAAAAGAAACCAGGAAAATTCTCTTCCAAGACATAGTGAGGGAAAATATTCATAACTTCCTTCTGTGCTTGCTAGGAATTTATTTTTTCCCCTCATAATTAAAATCACACACATATTCAAGTTCTGAGTTTTGTGAGCATATTATATATTCAAGACATCAACTAAGCATGGTATTGTCAAGTGTGTGATTATAAGGAAGGGAGTGTTTTAGACATGGGAATACTGGATAGAAGGTTGAAAAGCACTGTTTTCCTATTTGGAAAAAAACCTGAACTTTTAAGCTCCCCAAAATACATGTGTCTGTGTGTGCGTTTGCTTGTGCAGATGTATTTCGGTAGGATTTAAAAATAATTTTTAAAATCATGCTCTCTATTGCTGTGCTGCAAACATGGAGCAGCCCCCTTATGATCGTGTGACAAAAGCTGCAGCAAAAGCACCAACTGGCAGCACTGTTTATGCCACTTTCAAAGCCACCCTTTCCCCATTACCCCACTGGGAACCACAAGCTCTGAGCCTGGGTCACCTCTGGGGACCTGGAACTGAATCTGGGAACCCAGGAATCTGGTTCCTCCAGAAAACTTTACTGTGTCCTGGTGCATGGGAATGCACCACAAGCTGCCTCTGCCTGGTGCTTGACTGGCTCTACCTCTCTGGGTGAGGTGCGGGAACTGGGCCTGCTGCACAGGGCGGAGCTGAAGGTGGTGGCTCGGTTGGTATATATAAGGCCGGTGGTGCTGGTTTAACTTCTGACTTGGGTTATTTATTTGGGGATTGCACAAACCGCACAGGCTAGTGGAAGTGGTTGTGGTGGTGGTAGCTACAGAGGCTGCCACAGATGGTAATTAAAAAAAAAGGCCTCAGTGAGTGACGGGAACATCATGACTCCTGGGCACAGGCTGCAGCTTTGGAACTTTTTGGGTGCGTCAGGAGTGCTGAGAGAAAAGTGAGTGTCTGGGACCCAGCAGCTGCTACAGATGCGCTGGCCGGGTTTTTGTTTGGCTGTGCTGAGCGCCAGGCAGCCCAAGTGAACCACTCCAGTCACAACAGCAATCCACCTTATCGCAGCTGAAGGCAACTGGATTGCCACATCCATCCTATTTGTTTAGACACTTGCCAGGAGCTCTGCAGTCAATGGAGCCACCAAGTCCTTGCTCTTGGTCGCCGCTCCCCCTTGGTGGGGCTGACAGGACTGGACACTCCAGTGGTAGAGTTGATGGAGTTGGGCACCACCATCTTGTGGCTATGGGCGCCACCATCTTTGTTGAGGAGTAATGGTCAATTTGCATATCTCCTCTTTATTAGATAGGATGTTTGCTTATTTAAATGAAATTTTCTGGTTTCAATTTGCTTAAAATATTTTACTATATGAACCACACAGACTGAATATGAATTTGTCATTTTCATCATTGAGGTTGTAAAGTGCTTTCTTAATAATTATCTTTTATTTAAAAAAATTTTTTTTTCTTAGGTTCCGAGGTCACATCAAACTTGGTATTTTTGAAACAACCTTCTTCCCTAGTCAGAAGTATTGGTCAAAGTGCAGTATTGCCATGTGTTGCTTCAGGACTTCCTCGTCCAACAATTAGATGGATGAAAAATGAGGAGGCACTTGACACAGAAAGGTAATTTGTACCTAAAATCCTTTTTCAACCTTAGCTTGAGACTTGTTCTTATGTGGCACTATTGATTAATAAGAAAATTATTACCTACTTAAAAATTTAAATACATCATAATCCTTATCATCCTTGACATATGTTTACATGCTGTATATAATTAAGATGTTTAAAGAAAAAATGCTTTTAAAATATCATGGGATAATTATTCTATTTGTTCTTTCTGAGCTTCAGTATCCTTAGTTTAAGGCCTCAGGACCTCCTTCTCTAAATTATTACATTACTGGAGGCCCAGTGCATGAAATTCAAGCATTGGGAGAGGAGGGTCCCTCAGCTCAGCCTGCACCGTTTTGCAGTTGGGACCCCTTGGAAGATGGCCATCTGCTGGCTTATGGCTGGATGGCCTTAGGCTGCTGCTCGGCCTGCTGTGCTGGGCCACATGGTCTGTCCTACAAACACAATCGAGTAAGTAAGTGAAGTGTGGAGGCAGGCTCACCCTGAATTCCCTGTGCTTCCCTGAGTCACTGAGTTGTTCAGACTGACTGCTTTCTACAGAGAATGGCACCAGGATGGGCTAAAGCCGGAGGTTGGACATCCCTCTTGCAGTCTGGGACCCCTCAGAGGATGTAACAGTGTGCCAAGGGACAGGTAGCCAGAGAGGAGCCCAAATTGGGACCAGGCGCCATGCCGCTCACGCTCATCCTGGCCCACTGCACCTGATGTGACTGCTCGGTAGTTCTCTCGTGGAATTGGGAGAGGCTCCCACCATGGCAACGGTGCTCACTAGCCATCACCCCGGCTTCTGTGAGAGCACACAGACCACCAGGGGGAAGCTCCTGCATTGAGCGTCTGTGCCCTGGTTGTCAGTGCGCATCATGGTGACTGGTCATTCCACTGTAATGGTCGCTTGAGCTTTTATCATATAGATTTCCAGTCCTCACTAGCCTGAAACTTGACACTCACTCTTATATGCGTGTTGTTGATAGTAGCTTTTTTTTCTTTACACAAACAGTAAAAGAAAATGTATTTCTCCATTGTATGATCTTGCCTCCTTTGTCAAATATTAATTGAGAATAATGGCTTGCTTGGGTCAATTTCTGGGTTCTCTGTTCTGTTCCATTGGTCTATATGCAGACTGGTGCTGCCACTGTGGAAGATAGTATGAAGGTTCCTCAAAAAACTAAAAATGGAACTCCCATTTGACCCAGTAATCCCTCTTCTAGGACTATATCTTAAGAAACTAGAAACACCAATCAGAAAGGATATATGCACCCCTATGTTCATAGCAGCACAATTTACAATAGCTAATATTGGAAACAACCTAAGTGCCCATCGGCAGATGAGTGGATTAAAAAACTGTGGTACATCTACACAATGGAATATTACAGTGCTATAAAAAGAGGGAACTTTTATCATTTGCAACAGCATGGATGAAACTGGATGAAACTGGAGAGCATTATGCTACACAAAGTAAGCCAGAGAGAGATAAATATCACATGATCTCATTCATATGTGTGATATAATGATCGACATAATTTGATGAATAAGAATAGATCCAGAGACAAATAGCGGGGGGTGGGTTAGAAAGCATCTAAAGGACTTGTATACATGCATATTAGCATAACCAGTGGACAGAGATACTGGGGCGGTATTGCCTGGTGTGGGAATGGCTGGGAGATGGGGGAGATCAAGCAGGGAAAAAGGAGACATATATAAAACTTTAGACCAAAAAAAAAAAAAAAAAAAAAAGGGAAATGTGTTTCTCATCCTTTTGTTTTTGCCTTTTAAAATATTACCAGCCTTCTATGATACCAAATTCTTCATCTTCTACAAAAGCCTTTTGTGTTAACATCAAGCATTAGATCATCCATATAATCTCCCTCATTACTTTCTGTGGTCTGGATACTTTTTTCAGTTGTATTCTGATAAGAGAAATGAGGTGGTTTTGGTGCTAATGGTAGTTAGGTATGTTTGTTTCCCAAACAAGTTATCTCATGCATTGTAAGATGTTTAGTAACATCCCTCACCTTTACTCACTCTATGCCAAGTAACTCCTAAGTTGTGACAACCCAAATTATTTCTAGATATTGCCAGATGTCTCTTGGGAGACAAAATTGTCCCCAGTTGTGAACCATTATTCTGGAGTAGTGCTGTCCAATAGAAATATGATGCAAGCCACATATCTTGCTTAAAATTTTCTGGTAGCTGCATTAAAAGAGTAAGAACCACATGTGTACTACTAAATACAACATAACCGCCGAAACCGGTTTGGCTCAGTGGATAGAGCATCGGTCTGCGGACTGAAAGGTCCCGGGTTCGATTCCGGTAAAGGGCATGTACCTTGGTTGGGGACACATCCCCAGTAGGGGGTGTGCAAGAGGCAGCCGATCGATGATTCTCTCTCATCGATGTTTCTAACTTTCTATCCCTCTCTCTTCCTCTCTGTAAAAAATCAATAAAATATATTAAAAAAATATATAACTTATGCAGTGTACCAATTAAAGTACAGTGTAGTTCTACCAAAACAATAAAGTTTGTGTTCAAAGCAGTTTGTACATTTAAATGGAAATTAAATAAAAATTTAAAAATGTAGTTCCTCAGTCATTATAGCAACATTTTCAAGAGTCAGTAGTCACATGTGGCTAGTGACTATTGAATTGGATAGAGCAGGGCTAGAGTTTGTCAATTTAGTAATCCAAAGTAAGCAGACATTCTTAATTTGTGTAGTTCAGTAACCAAGACATGGAAAGGAAGATATGTATAGTCCAATGGTTGGCAAACCACGGCTCTCGAGTCACTTGCGGCTTTTTGGCCCCTTGAGTGTGGCTCTGCCACAAAATACCATGTGCTATTGAAACTTCGCGGCCCATGCACAGAAGTCAGTTTTCGGCTCTCAAAAGAAATTTCAATCGTTGTACTGTTGATATTTGGCTCTGTTGACTAATGAGTTTGCTGACCACTGGTCTAATCAATTTGATAATCAACCTTCAGCAGTAAGTGGAAAAGATAGAATTACAATCATGTTATTTCTCACATGTTCCATTAGCAAAGCTGGTGCTGTCATCTTCAATATCACCTGATTTGTTTCTTAATAACCAGCCACTTACAGCTTATTCTGCCTATATTTTATGTCTTGCTTCTCATTTCCCAGCTAAATATTATGCAAAGAATTTATAAGACTTCCAGGGAATTTTTAAAACTTATGTGAACAAACATAGAAATCATTAAAATAGGGAATAAAAATTTCAATCTCTTAAAAGAATAAATTTTTATTGGCTACATGTTAGAATAAAATGTTTATCAGGAGTAGGAAAGCTGAAATAAGTGATTTTTAAAACTTTAATATTATATCATAGATGGACATTCTTAAATATGTAAAACATAGGAATTTGCTTTCTTATAGAAGAAATTAAAAGTGAGAACTTGTATGATTCTCAATTATTTATTAAATAAATACTCAACAAATATTGAATGCTGAATATGTTTGGCACTTTCTAGGTACTGGGAATACAGCAGTAAACCAAATATAGAGTTTTTGCTTTTAAGGAGCTCATGTTCTAGCAGGGAAGAGTAGATAATCATATAAGCATAAATTTTCATTTTATTAATATAGTAAGTATTATGAGGAAAATTATGACAAAGCATGTCATGGATGCCAAGAGAGGTACATGTGGGATTGCTATTTTATACAATGTATTAGAGAATTGTTCTCTAATAGAATGACAGACTGAGGTCTAGGTGGATCAGGAGTATAGAAATCATGGTAAGAATGTTACATATTTTCCTATTTCTATCAAATTGTTACTTTTGATTTTAAATATATTTCTGAGGGAAATTTTTAAAAATTAAATGTGGATATATTATTGCTAGTACTATTCCTCTGAGTTTTAAGGATTAAACAGGAAACTTTTAAGATTGAGTAGACTGTTCTACTTTGATTTCTCTGGGCTTCTTCATACTTGGTTATGTGGTAGAAAAGTCTGAGAAAGGATTGCTTTGATATATCAATATCACTTTCTCAGAAAGTTTCAGAAGAATGTAAGAGTAGGACACCTAATGATATTGTTCATGTTGTTATTTCCATTATGCTGGTAGCATAGTGCTTGGCATATAGCAAGGTAGGGAGAGTGGTGACCAATATATTTTGGTTAAATCTTAAATATAATATAAGAAAATATCAGTAGGTGAATGGAATACAAAATTGTGTCAAGTTACACATAAGAAATTACTCAAAATGTCTTTATTGGAGCTAGAGTTTTATGAGATCTTAAATTATTAAACATCTTTGAAAATGAATATTTTAAAACATTACCTGCTAGGGCTGATCGTTAGACCCTGAGCAATGGATGAATGATTACTCTGACACACGTTTCTGTGAAAGAGAGGCTAGGAGGCTGTTTTGCTTTAGGAGCAAAAAGCCCTGTTTACCTGCCTCCTTAGGCTTTTATTGTCAGAACAGCTTGAACTAAAATTAACCTCTAGATACAATCAGCAGGGTAAGTATCCTTGAGAAAGCACACACCTGGAGGTCAAGGCAGGAGCTGCTGCCTTTGGCAAGGTCCTTTTAGAGGCCCCTGACCCTTCAGAGATTCCTTACAGACTTTTTATTTTATTTTATTTTATTGATTTTTTACAGAGATAAAGGGAGAGAGATAGAGAGCTAGAAATGTCAATGAGAGAGAAACATCGACCATCTGCCTCTTGCACACCCCCTACTGGGGATGTGCCCTCAATCAACGTACATGCCCCTGACCATTATCAAACCTGGGACCTTTCAGTCTGCAGACCGACGACACTCTGCCACTGAGCCAAACCGGTTTCGACTCCTTATAGACTTTTCAACCAAGTCCCATGTTTCCCCATAGTTACCACTGCTTTTATTATGTCTTAAGAATTGATAATATTTACTTAATCTTTTGCTTAAATTTGTTCAAATTCAAACCAAACATAGCTATTGAAGGGTGGTGGTGATGGTGGAAATGAATCCCATTCATTGAGTAGTTTTATTT